ACTCTTATTAAGTCAATTATATAGTTTAGTATTAATAAGAGTCCCTTATAAAAAGAAACGCTTGCTAGTAGTAAATAAAGCAGGTATTTCTAAGTATTTCCTTACTATAAGAGATAAAATAGGAAATCTAGCTTTATTAGCTTTCTAATATTTTAAGGGCCGAATCTATAGCTAAATTAGTACTTATATATAAAGAAATTATAATAAAGGAATTAGTAGTTCCTAAGAAAATTTGAAGTAAAATAAGTGAATTTTATATATTTTTTTATTTACTCTCTTTTCTTCTAAATATGTTATTAATTCGTCTTCTATTATATTCTTTTAATTATTTATATAAATATTAAGTTCGTTTTTATTGAAATCTTTTATAGACATATTAGAACTAGAGTCTTAAGAATTAGCTATTAAATAGTCTTATTTATATTTATATAAAAATTAGTAATTTAAAAATTAAATAAAAACATATACTTATATATTATAGTTCGTTTCAAGCCTATTATATATATTAGATATCATTTCAGGAGCTAATATAATTCCGGCTAGTTTTACTCTTTTAATTCGAGAATTAAGAATAAAAGCTAAATATAAAGCTTTACTTTTATTATCCAAAATACCGGTTTTAGAATAATAATTTCGAAGCTTAGCTATTCCCTTATTAATAGCGTTTTCGAAGGTTTTATTTTATTTAAAATTAGTATATTTATTAATATAATAAGAAATAAAAAAAGAAGACTTACTTTAAACTCTCTTTTAAAATCTTTAAATTTATTATATATTTTATATACTTCAGGTATAATATAATATATAGTAGGGTAGTTTTCGGCTTGTAACTTAGTTATAGCCTTAATAAATATTGAAATTATATTTAAAATATTATTTAAATAAGTAATTTTAATATTAGTTAAAACTAGACTTTTATTTTTAAAAGCCTTTAATTTCGAGCTATTAATTACTACTTTAATAGCTTTATATATATATATATAAAGTCTTTTAATATATAATAAGTTAAAGACTACCGTGTTTTTTAATCTATAAATAATTAGTATTAATTAATAAATAATTAAATAATTAAATAATTACTTACTAAGTTAAGGAAACCGAGCATTTTCTATATTAAAAGCTTTAATTTAAGCTTCTAATAGCCGTCGATTTTCCTAATTATATTTAAGACCTATAATAGTCTTTCTAACCTTTCTCTAAATTAATAAATCTATAATTTATTAATAAATCTCTTATAAATTATATAATAAACTTATTTATTACTTATTCTATTTCTTTTTCTTCTTTTCTTTCTTTAAGTTCGTCTTTTTCTTACTTATATAAATCTATAGAATAAGAAGTATTATAATTATTCTTAATAAAAGCTTTTAAGATATCTTGAATTACTAAGTTTAATATATAAGCTATATAAGAAATATCTCCTTGAAATTTAATGCCTTCCTTATTATAATACTTTATAAAAGCCTGTAATAAGGTATTATTTAAGCTAGTATTATCTCGAGTAATACTAAATAAAATATATTAGTAATTATTTTAATAAAAAAACAAGATTTATATTATTTATTTAGTAATATTATATTCGATATTATAAGCTTTTAAAGCTTCTAATAAAACCGAATTCATATATTTACTACTATAAATATCTTTTAAATCTTTTATAGCTAATAAATAAGATTTTAATTTAAAATCTTTATTTATAAAATGTCTAAAAATTAAATTAGTAAATTTTTTATTAATTATTATTAATAAGAATAACTTATATAATAATTCCTAAATAAGCCTTCTAATTTATAGCTATTCAAGTATCTAAAGTAATAGAAAAAGCACTATTTAATAAGATATTATTTAATAATTCTTCTTTTATAAGATTACTATTATTATTATATCTTAAAGTAAGCTCATTTATAAGTACTTTAGAATATAAAGGCAGTACTCTATTATATAAAGGTTAGTTATATATAAATATAAGTAATTTTTAAATAAAACTTACTAGTTTAAATATTAAAGTAGCTTTTTAAAGCTCGAAGTAATAATGGCTCTAAAAGAAATATTATTATTAACTATAAAGTCTAATAATAATCTTTTAAAGTGAACTATAGTAAAGCCTTTACTAGTTTGACTAGTAGCTTTACTAAACGATTCGGTAATAGATATTTGATTTAAGTCTTAAAAAGTAGCTATAAAAATTATTAGTTATTATTTTATAAATTAATATTAATTACTTACGAAGCTTATTGCCCTTTAATATAGTATCTATATTAACTGACTTATAATTATTAAAATAATGGCTCTTATAATTACTTGTCGATTTTCTAATTCTTTGCTTTATAAATTTTTTACTTAAAATATATTAGTTATTTTATAATTAAATTAAATTAAAAATATATACTACTTACTTATAGCCCTTAAATAAGCATAATATAGTAATTATTCGATAATTATTAAGGTCCTCTGGATTAGCTTTAGGGGGGTCTAAAGTCTTTCTTATATAGCTAAGCTTAAAGATAGAAGCTTATCTTAAAAGTGGTTCTAGCTCAAAATCCTCCTTATTTTAAAGGATATTAAGGTTAATCGAGGATTATTGAGACATTTTCGAATATATCGAGTAAATATAAGTAGGTTTATAGTCGAAAGCTTCTTAATTAGAGCTATAGTTATTGAGATATTTATATATGAAGTAAGGAGAAAAGAAAGTAACTTGAGAGAAATTACTTATTTATATATAAATCCTCTAGAATCTAGAAGACTCTTTAATACGTATCTGATTAGTAATAGCCCCCTAATTTCAAAGCATTTATTTATAAGAGAGTTTATTTTTAGCTATTTTATTTATAATAATAAGATTTATAAGGTAGCAAGGAATTACTAGAAAATCGAGTAGGTTCTAGTACCTTCGGCTCGTCCCGCTTTGCTTATTAAGCGGCGCAATACCCGATTTAGTAAGGGGCGCCTGAAGCGATACCCGATATGGGCTAGCCTAAACCTTATTTTAGCCTCATTACGCTTTCTAACCTCCGAGCGCACGTATACAGTCACGTGACTAAATAATTAACTATAATTAACTATAGTTGATTATAGTTGATTATGATTTGATTTAGTAGATTTTGACTTGATTTGATTTGATTTAGAGGCGATAATCAAATCAAGCTAAATCATTTGACACACTAGAGCCATACTAGGTTCGTCTATAATATTAAATACGTTAACTATAATATTAGTAGTTATCTTGGGAATAACTAAAAGAAAGGAGTTACTAATATTAAGATATTCCTTCTTACTGCTTTATGGCTAAAGGGGCGCCCTGTAATCATCCGCCAATATCGTCTTTAATTATAATAAAGGCACTATAGCTATATTATTATAGCCAATAACCCAATTAATACAGGCTAATATCCCTGCTAGGTGTTTATATGATCTCTTTTGTCTGATTTGTTTTCTTCTTTGACCTTGAGAAGGGAGCGGATGTATTAAAACGCAGATAGTCACATATGCGTACAGGGCAGCATGAGGAGTTACGGCCTGGGAGTGGCGGCCTGGGACTGATGAGTAAGTGAGAGTGACGGCTTAGGACTGATGAATGAGAGCTCCGGCCTGGGACTGACGGCCTAGGACTGATGAATGAGAGCTCCGTCTCGTCATCCTTCTCCCCGGGCCAAAAGGTGGTCCAATTGAATACTAATTAATAACTTCATCTCTGGCACTAGAAGAGCTGTAATACGAAGCACTTTCATACGAATGGGGAGGTGCGCAAGGTCCGAGATATGAGATGCGATTTGAAGGAGAGAGATTTCTAGTTCGAGAGAATCTGTGGGCTGCTTTGGACTGTTTCAGATCGGAGAAGGAAAGGCAGCCTGGGCCGACCAAGCCTGGGCCACACTGCTTTGTAATAACCCTACACCAGCATCTGACTTAGCCTGGGCCAAAATGCTTTGTAATTAAACCCATTTGACTTAGCCTGGGCCAACCTGCCTAGGCCGTCAGTCCCAGGCCGGCGTTTCCGGAAGCGTGGGGGTTCGTGGGGGCTCGAAGTGATAACGTGCCCGGGCAAGCCACCACCAGCTCCACGGCCCACGGCTTGGCATGTTGGCAGATGATTGGATGTGTGGGATCAGACTCTGGAGATGACCAGGGTGCAGAACTGCCGGACTCTGCGCCGCTCAAGGGGTGAACGTGGTGAAGGCAGAGATGTCGCCTAAGAGCCACGCTGCGTGGCGATTTCCTGCAGCCTCACCGACTTTGCCTGTGCCGTTGAGAGCTTCGCACTGGCTGCATGTCTGCACCTTGCGTCTCAGTTTGCAGCCATCGGCGCAAGCATCGTATCGCTCTCATTCGGGAGTGACGAACGTGGCGGCACTGGCCTCCGCTGCCCAGTGTGGGCTCCGATAAGCTCGATAAGCGACGATTAGATAATCGCGCTAATTTTTCGATAATCAATAATTATCGGTCCAGGGCCTTGGCAATACTACAGGGCCACTATAGGGCCAATGCGCTGTATTTATAGGCCTTATACCGCCTTTACTAAATCGGAATTCTGCCGATTAAAAGAAAAGGCGGTGTAAGGCCTATAAATACAGCGCATTGGCCCTATAGCTATCGCTAAGCCTGGACCCACTTTTATCAATAATATTATCGATATTTATCGACTATCGATCGATTAGCCGATAACGATTACTAATCGATAATTCCGATCGATAATTTATCGGAGCCCACACTGCCGCTGCCACGCCGTGCTCTGAATTGCTTCTTCTGCGTGGCCGTGGCGCTGGAAGCCCAATAACGACTTCTCCCTTTACAATTTCCTGTCGGTTTTATCGCTTGCTTCTCAAACTGCCTCCAATCCTCTCTAGTTCTCTAAGTTGCCGCCATACTTTTATATTGTCTCTCCCCTCCAAATATCCTCTCGAGGAGGGCCCGACGGGAATGTGCTTGTCGCGCTACTTCTTTTCAGTCTACAATCTCTTCATAGCAGTTGTATTGTCCTCAAGCCACTCTCAAAGGACGGGCGTGAAGCACCGCCAATGAAAATCTAAGTAGGTGCAGGGCCCCATGCTGTGCGACCCATCTGCAGCATGCTCACAGTTACTTTGCGACGGAAAGACCAATCAGGGTTAACGCCCAGTGACAACACATTGTCCCAAACGGCTCACGTGCATTCAGCTCTCCGGGTCAACTTTGATTTTCATGCTCTGCTGTTGTGCCCATATTAGTCGAGGCTGACTTTTAAGGAACGGAAGTTCACTCAACCATCTCGTCGCTTACTGTAGAAACGTCTCCTCGCTCGAAAATTCACACATTTTGCATCGATAATATCCCGCATCATTCTACAGAGTTTCATTGAGCGGCGATCATGGGCGAGCACCTCTTCCCAGGGACTTGTCTCTCAACTGTACCCCATGGCCTATGGATTGGTTACGATGGGCGAATGTCCGTCGGCGGAAATGTCCGTGACATTCTTCTTCACTATTTTGGATGCCTCCGAGGGGATGGAAAGCTAGATGCGAATAGACTCTTACTGCAAGAAAGAGAATTGTCCGAGTCTGAAGAAAAAAACCTTCGTAGATATTATCAGCGACAGAAATTTTTCGATTCTCTGCCCGAGCACGAGAAACACCGCATTATGGATGAAAGACAGCGCATTGACGACTTGAGGAAGTTGCTTGAGCTCGACGACGAGACGAGAGGCCTTGTGTTAAGATTTGAGAAGAGTCTGCAAGAATGGCGTCCTGGACCGGCAAGGGTGTCAAGAGAGAGCCTCCCAGAAGGCGATGTTTTGCACAAGGAAAATGCGTTCGGTTTGAGTGCACACATGATGCTCTTTAAGGATAGAAGAGAGGCCGGAGTTGGTGGTTACACGGGAGTGGCAGATCAGGCATTTCCAGAAAACTTCCCCAATCAGAAGATACCCCTCAAGGATCTGCTGTACAACAGGGACGGGAACTCAAATCCCCTTACGAGACCCTGTTCGGATGGGATGATCCGGTATTTCCATCTCCCGGAAAATAACATGGAATGGATAGAGGTAAATCGTGAACGGCCAACATCATTAGTTCTAAGTTTAGTGTTTTCAGGAAGCAATTGCGCGTTATTATGCAGAGGAACGACCCTACTATGATGACCTATATCGACAGCCTGAGAACCCCACAAAGTCTTACATGATTCTTCAACCTGCTCTCTGGAGAGGCCAGCAGCAGGGTGGTAGGGGTGATGCTGTATATGCAAGGCAAATGAGACCTCGGTGTGAGAGGATGTCTACAAGTCAGTTGCGCATCCCTGTCAACCAACAGCAGGCCTGTACTAATATCGAGCAGACCCTCGACACCTTGAGGAGTCTCCAAATAATCTGGCACTGTTTGTATGCTTCTCATCCTACTTGAGAGGATTGGACTAATGCCCAGGATTGATGCCATACCTGCATTGGGAGACTGACAGATCACGCTACAAATTGGAAGAATCCATGCGCCGCATAACGGAATGGCATAGAACTAAAGAAGAGCTGAAAACGAGGGAATTCAAAAGATTTGAGGAAATTGAGTTTCTGGACCCGGAGAGGCCATTGCTTCGCCTCAGCACCGCCACTGAGACGGTACAAGCCAGACTCCACCACGAGTTGAGAATTCATCCGATGTCTAAGGTTTCAAGGACAGGCGTTGCGCGAGAATTAACGGGGAGAATTTTGGTGCCCGCAACATTGCTTGGGAGGGTTCTTTATCGAGCCGCGAAGCTCTGGGAAGCTATGAACTATTACAAAGAAGAACATGTTCTAAAGGAGTTTCTTCATAATTCTCCTCCTTTACATCCGCGCCGTACGCTCGACCAATCTTATTACTGGACGCTTCGATCGACGCAAAAGAAAGCTCGAGATCAGGTAGTTTACCGAGGCACCGCACCCAAGAAGCAATTCATGCATAAAATGCACTGTAAGACTTTCACAAAGGAACCGCCGTGTAGACAGTGCTTGGACGATATTCGGAAAAGATCCAGGGTAATTATGGTTGACCAACTGTGGCTCTGGATTCTAGATGGAAGTAAGTCACGAAAGTTTTCTATATTCTCTTTACTCCTCCAGTCGTGGTCGTTGTAAGGTATCGGGTTTGCCTAGGGCCACGGGGCAACGAGCGAAATAGACGTGACTTTACCACACATGGAGAATTTTTGGTAAGACAAGTGACCTGAGTCTATATGTGCTTTGATTTCTTCTAATTCTATCCACCACTCTCAATAGCTTGAATCGAGGAGCTGATATTGAATCCATAGACACTATCATCACAAGTTTTCCGAAACGCTATGGCCGGGATAATGAAGACACATCGGACGTCCACAAGTGCATCCGTTTACGTCTGAAGGTTGCTCGACAAAACGAGATCAGGTCAATCTATGACTTAGCTCTGATTATAATAGACGAATGCTCTAAAGGGATGTTCGACCATGCTAAAACAGGAGGCCAGCAACCTCAGATGATGACTCTGTTTGCGGACGCTATAAGCAACGTGGTAGCTTCCCCTTAAGTAGATAGCAGCGTTGCTCGGGACTAATCTTGTCTCACAGAAAGATAGGACTGCACTCTACTACGAAAACTTCTGGGACATTACAAGTCGACTGTCCATGGCGTATAAAGATCAGATACCCATGGTTGACGCGGCAAAGGACGCCAGATCTCTACTCGATATCAATCCGGAGGGATATTTATCCACAACGATCAAAAATGTTGTGGATGAACTGAATATTATCCTTGACATCAAAAGCAATCAGCAAAAGGCACTGAAAGATTTTCAGAAACATGTCGATTACATCTTGGCTCCTTATATGACCATCGCGAGAGATATTGGGATTGATAAGCAGCGGGGTGATGAGAGGAGGGTTTCAACAGATTCTGAAGAGAGAACGAAAATGGATACTCAGATCTCCAGAGCAGCCGAGAAAGATGCAAAGTGGACGATGGAATCTTCAATTCGTGTTTCAGCAGATCTCGAAAACAGAATCATTGATCTCAGTCACCTTAAAGAATCCGCCGAAAATATCGAGAAAGCAGTAAGTTGTCTCTACATTGTACAATTGGAACGTCTCTGACTCGCTTGTATAGGTCGACGGACTACTTGGATTGAAGCAGCAACAGGCCGGAGTTGTCCAGGCTCGCGAAGCTGTGAGGCAAGCAGAAGAAACGTTAAGACAAGGCCGATCTATCATGTTGTTTACAGTCATTACGATAATATTCGTAAGTATTTCCTTCGCAATCTATTCAATCAAATACTGACCAGCCCACTGCTTCCATTGACATTCGGCACGGGCATATTCGGAATGAATTTGGAAACATTCGGTTCAACCTGGACTCTACGCAAAGAAATCACTTACATCAGTCTGTATTTTCCACTCCTTATTTTGAAGAGAAACTGAAGTGACTGCTAGCCTTCGTGTCGGCAATCGTAATTGCCACTTCAATTGTTCTCGCATTCAGCTCTTTCGTTCGATCACTCCTATCATTGGTGTTCGGCGTTGTATGGATGTGGTTTGTGACAACTACGCGCATCTACGACCTTTGGTACTCGTTCAGACAGGACAGTGGCTTTCTAGCCAGAAAACAATTGGATATTACGAGAAAATGGAAAGAAGTGGCAAGGGAAAGGTATTTCCTGAGACAGGCACGAAAGCGGGAGAGACAGGAAGAAAAGCTAAAGAAACTCGAGGCGAAGCTATTGAAGAAGGAAAAGGAGTACCTGCAAGGAGGCCGCGGACGCCAAGCAGCCCAAGCACGTGACTCAACTTTAACAGTTCTGGCGGTATAAAGTGCCTTCCTCCACTGTAGCTAGGCAATCAATCTACGCATCTCGATCTCAACACGTACCGACAAGCAATTGTTCTTTTTCCTGCCTTGATTCCCTGGTTCTACCCGAGGCGTTGCGTTCTTACTGAATATGCTTCTTGTCCGCCACCAAAGTTAGCATCATGGGAGGTGTTCTTATTGCAGGAAAATCAAGAAATATTCACTTGGTCCAAGTTGGAGTGTTAACTTCTCATGGTTCTGCTTATCGTGAAGGTAGAACATTTTCTTGATTTAATTTGACTTCACCTCACCCCCTGTACAGTGGTAATTCGAAACGAATCTTGAGTTATAGAGTCTTGAGTTTGTCTTTCGGCAACTGAGCAAATAAGTCAAATTTGGACGTTGGATAGTTTCATTAAGCCACTAGTTCAGCAATATGAGCATACCTACCTTACCTGATGTACCTACGCGATTAGGTTGCTATTGTAAGCGGTCCCTGAAACGGGATCCGAAAACGCCTGAGCTTCAACCCACGAATGATACCAAAACTATTCCTCTGCCATCACCGTTGAGATAATGCTCCTATGGCGTCGAGTAGTGTTGAGATAACAAGCGGCCTGTATTTTGTGAACCGCCAAAGCTGTCTCTTGCGATTCTCCCACTGCCTCTACGGTTCCAATCCCAGAGAGTACTGCATTTGCTCACGTGAGCGTGGCCGCACAGGGCAAGACCTTGCGTCCCGGGCGAGGGCTGCCTGTTTTTCGGTAAATAGAGGCCGCACACTGTGGCTTCCAAATAGCGTGACGCTGTTTGGACCCACATGCATGCCCATCATTGTGGCTGCATTGCTCGACCGTCACTGGAGAGCGAAATGCACCCATGGGAGGCCGTCCATGAAATCCCTGAAGAGGCCGGCCATGAGAATACATAAGTACCTCTCTGGTAGAGCCTGATTCCATTTCTCTTTCCTCCCTTCCCATCGACATTTTCTGGCATAGCCAGTGTAAGTAGCCACCTCTCAACCAGATTCTGGGCCGAAACATGCTAACTTCCTCACAGCCTCGTCTTAGCATTCTTACCTGGCTCCTGAGCGGAGACCAACTCCGCTCGCAACCTCATTCAACGCGAATGTCATAGTGATCCAGTTCAGTCAAGTCCTCTCGAAGCGGCTCCATACTATGCTAGTCTCGACGATTTTCGTGGCCCGGGAGCGACGGAATGTCCTAGCTGGGATGGACAGTCTTTGGGATGGCCTGATAACTTCGACCACTGCGGGCTGGGCCAATGGGGCCCCGGTGCCGAGGAATTTGTGGAGAATGGAGGATTTGAATACTTTGGGGTGGGTTTTGAGGCTCCGGGTATTGGGGAGAGAAAAGCAGATGGTGGAATATGGGATGGAAGCTTCCAAGGCATTAGCTTGCTGGTTGAACGCTTCGAAACTGATCCGGGAGGTCAAGATGAAGATGCCTTTCTTCATGCGTGGGAATGGGGCGGCGATCCAATGGAACTGGAAATATCGGAGGAAGGAGCTCAGGTGCCGATAGGAGCACCATCCACCTCCACGATACCATCGCCGAGTTCGACAAGCTATGATATGAATCCTTCAAAGAGTCATGACACAGAGAGCAGCCAAGAGCTAGCAAGTCCTGCTTTGAAAGCAACTCCCTCAGGCGACAAGTGGCTTTGCGAGTTTACCAACTGCGGTAAATGTTTCTCGCATCGTCACAAACTCAAGTATGTTTCGTCCATTCTGCACACTCTATGCATCTTCTAGCTAACTATATGGACCAAGCCGCCATCGGAAGTATCACCTAAAGCCTTATCGCTGCCTTGATCCATCATGTTCCACTCGGGGCATAGCATTCTCACTGAACAAGGACCTTGCCCGCCATCACAGCCAGCATAGCGGGCAGCGTTTGTATTGCCCACATAGGGGCTGCAGTTATGCTTTCGGCGGCGGAGAGAACGGCTTCTCCAGGAAGGACAACCTGAAGAGGCATATCAAGACTCGGCATTGATGAACCCGTCGCAGAAGACTGGTTATGAACAGGAGGAAGAGGAGGGTTGCTCTCAAGATCCTTTGACAGTGAATCAGCGATCCGGTGCCCTTCACACGTCACACTTGTTTTTATGTACAACATTTCACGCCATCCGGCGCTATGAGTCCAATCCAAGTCGAGGTTCCCTGGGACCCTTTGACTCAATACGTTACTCGCTTCGCACGAGATACCTGGCAACGACCCGGCGTTGTTAATAGCTTTTAGCTATACGTACCTTCTGACCTGAGACTGGTACACTCTATCCATCAACTTATGGAAGGATCAGATGGGCCTTGACACAGGCTTGGTGTCGTCTTTAGGTGGATTTAGGTTTCTTTTCGGGGAGCATCTAAACTTCGGAAATTTCTTTACTCGAATGCCGCAACGACTGGTCTCAATCGACAATTTCAATTGTTGTTCATGTTTTGTTCAAATCGTTTCTCATTCTCGAATGAATTCAGAGTACTGTTTAGGAGGCATTAGAAATATGAATTGATCCAACTTGGTGTTCTACATTCTGATTATTTTCATTTTGCGAAAATAAACCATTTTCGCACCGCGCCATTTTTGAACGCGCCATTCCCTTTATATACGTGATATCTCTACTGGGTTTTGGCTAGGACGAGCAACATTCTAGGACGAGCAACATTCTAGGACGAGCAACATTCTAGGCTGGGGTGATAAAACACAGCTGGCTGAGTATGCCTATAACCGCCACTGGGTTCAGTAATTGGCACTTCCTAGTTGGTGAGTCAGCTATCCAACCAGCTCGACTAAAGTTGCTGCCGAGAATATTGATGATCAAGTTACCCAAGGTCGATGTGCTCAATGTTTATTGGTGGGCAGAGGTGAGTGTATGGAACATCCTTTCCACCTCCCTCCATCACATAAGCAGTGCGGTTTTGAAAACGATAAGATGACTTGGTCAAATTAATTTGTAACCATTCAGGCTTTTCAAGAATGTTTTCAAGAAGTTCTCTTGGCATCAATCCCTAATATTCGCCTATTTTAGCGAACCCCTTACTTGACATTATATGCAAGTTGAAGGTGGGCTGAATTGTGAAGATGTGTGGAAGGGTCACCCAATTCTAACAAATCTTGGATAGTTTAAAGATTAATGTTCTATATCTCACAACTTAGGATCATCGAAAATACCAGATGAGAACGGTAGCGGTAGGATTGCGGGAAACTACGCGGGATTTCAAATTGGATGCGCTGAATTTTGCATTGAGGGAATGTAAATTACAAAACATAAGCCGAGACAGAAACAATGGTCATTAGAGGGAAAGAATCGGAAGTAGGGAAACTTGGTTTTCCAACATAAGTGACAGAATACTAAGGGCCGTACAAGCATCAGATACGAATTTCGTCGAGTGACCCATCACCAAATGCAACTGATTTGCATTCTGCACCGATCCTGGACATGTGGAATTTGTAAAAAAAAAAAATATTCAAAATTATGCCAAATAACACTGCATATGAGGTGAATGAAAGCCCTGCTGATAGTTCTCGTAAATTGTTAGAGGGGTTTATCGCTCGCTTAGCAGGAGGATGTCTGGAGTCCCGTGAGTATCTTTGAAATTCAATGATGGATCTAATACTCACACTGTGGTACTTGTTGTGCCCGCCATAATCCGATCTCCCCGAGCAATAAGAGGTGCAAAAAGTGGCGGTGGTGAGTATACCATCGCCGCTAAAGGCCCACGAGGCTTCAATGGCATTATCATCCTCCGCTGCGTCAGAATCGTAGTCGAACGTGACATTACTTCGGCCATTCGTTATCTCCATCTCCGGCTTATTGCCAAAACCGGGCTTGAGGGAGCGAATGCCAAGGACGCCTTGCAAGTCATGAGCTTTGAGTGCTTCGTTGAATTCGGCGAGGAATGGCTCTGGAACGACGGGCTCATGGAGCTCTTGAGTGGGAGGGACAAATTTGAACTCGTAGGGGTGGTAGGCTTCGCCTTCAAACGCCCACGACACTGGGAGAATGCGCGAATCCAGTGCCTCAGATCCTTCGTTGGACCAAGGTACAGATGCGCCACCAGCATCGACGAGACGTTCGTCGTTTTCGAGGCGGAAATGGCGGTGGAGGAGCTGAACGCCGAGGAATCCTTCGACTTTGTACTTAGTGAATATGCCGGCGAGGGCAGTTTTCATGATTGCGGCAGCATTGCGTTCTTTGAATTCGGCGTCGGCATCATGGAGGGAAGGGAGGGTGTTGAACACCAAGGACGAGTAGGGCTGAAGAGCTGGAGTAGCCATTGGGTGTGCAGGTGCTATACTTTCAGAATTGAGTGATGGGGTATGAGAGGCGGGCGATGGTATTGACGATCGTTGTTTTGGAAAAGCTTCTCGGAGCAATAATAAATAAGTCTTGGCCTTTGATGAATCCAGTTACGCGGCTCCTATTTTATAGGCATTTCTTGAGGCTCAATCTTGGAAGTGCCAAATATACCCCACACATCATGATAGGGATATCTGGAGTGAGGCTTAAAGGAGCGTTGCCCTCAACGAACGAAAGCAGGAAGATAAGAAATCCGGAACAGAGGCTGAAACTGGCTCCTCTTAATGGAGCCTACGTTGAATGGTGGTATACTCGGGGATAGGTGGGGTGGGAGGCGGTGGAACTTCCCGAATACTCCCACATTCAAAGGTGTGGTGGGTGGAGCTGAAAATTGCCGATTACTGGCAGATTGCACCATGTGGTTGACTGCGGTGGAAGTTACCGAGTGCTGGCACACCTCGAACGACGTGGGAAAGTCGAAACCTCAAACCAATAGTGAAGCCATGAGTGTGCGCGTGCCAAGAACAAATCTTCAGAGCCTCATGGCTAGTTGCTCAAACGTTACTCGGGCGAGCTGGCTTCATGGAGTACAGCCCGCGGCACGGTTACACAAACGATAAGGAGATTTCTCCAATCTCTTCCTCCATGCGAAAGACTGCGAGATATCCAATGACTAATTATTACTCAATATTATTACTTGATTTTAAGCTGAGAACATTTTCAGTGTGGTGTAAATGAAGTAGTGTAAGGCATTACTCACAGCGTGTGACTACTGCGTCCTTCAACCCGAGTCCGTTAGTACTCTTAGAGTCGACACTTAACTCAAGAGAACGAGCTTACCAAGAGAGAATGAACACATCGAGAAGCTCAGCATCCTCTCAGAGCCACATATGGATAGATTTATCTACCCGTCAACGATGGTAAGACGGCTGGTCACCATTTAACAGACGGCCTTGTTTTAGAACCTAAGAATAGGCAATTTAGACTGATTGCGCCGTTTTTTTGCTTCCCAATATTTCGCTGAATATCTCTGGAATTACAGTAAGGCACCCTGTGGGGGGTTGCTTTGTGGGACATCATCCGCGCCGATTGCCTTGGTCTAAAGCTTCCCACAGGTGCCTGGGAACTAAAACCTCTTACATTACATATAGATAAATGTTTGAACGTTAAATAGAAGATATCACGAAGATATTTCAGATGATTAACAAGCATATTACTCTGTATCCTGAACCGCTAAGCGAGCCCCTGAGACGGGATCTGAGAACCCCTAAGCATCGACCCACCAATGACATCAACCCCACTTCTCTACTACTACCACCTATCAAGTGAACACCCTCGCCAATCGAAAATCTTACGTCCGCTGCAGAATCAGCCTTGCGATTCCGCCCCGAGTTCAACCAATCAGAACCTCTGATTCGCTGCGGCCGAGAGAGTCGGGGTAATGCATCACTCCCAATTGCGCCTGATTGGTGCATGCTAGGCAGAACTCAGACTTGCGAATGCATCGCCCCTACTGACACGCGTCCGAAAGCTTGGTATGCGTGGATCAGCACTCGGGGGAATCGACATTGTGGGGTGAGGTGGGCTGTGCGGCCGTATGCATGCTGTGACATGGCCCGCTTCATGTTGCGAACGAACTGCCGATTGAGGACAGAGATATAAGATTCTTGCGATTCCCTTACCCAGAACGGTCATTCACATCAGCTGAAATCTTTACTTGGATTTTAACTACGCAACTCAACTCGTGAGCTTTCGAAAAATCACTCCGAGGCGTCCTCACTTCGTCATCCTATACAACACCTTGAAACGAATCAACATGTGCGGCTCCAGAAGAAGAGGTGGATTCGGTGGCTGCTCCCGCCGCGGACCGCCTAGGTATTCTCCTGTCGGCATGCTCATACGCCACATATCCGAGAAGCGCGATGCCAAGAACGGCTTTCAACAGCAGCCATATGGCTATGGATACGAACCCGAGAAGCAGTCATATGCATATGATGATATGAGGGCCAATCAACAATCGTTCGGAAATGAGAAGATGTATGGACAAGGCCAGAGAGGGGTGCCTATCCTGTGGGTCGATGAGAATCAGGGACAGAGGATGGCGAATACACAGTCGCTTGAAGAGAAGGAGGCAGCGGATTTAGCGGAGGCTATACGTCAAAGCTTGGGAGGAGGGTTAAGCACGGAACAACTGCCGAGTTATGGACAGGTTATGAAGCAGTAGATGGTACACCTAGCCTTGAGCGTTTGAGGCAGGCAATACTTTTCTTGTGGAAAGGGAAAGGTCGAACTTATTATTATTATTGCTATTGGAATACCTGTCGTCGCTATTTGTTCTATATCATGTATACGTGGCATACTCCTAGTACTTCGGTAGTATACTTTAACCTAACATTATTCAGTGCTCCATTACATAGTAATGGAGTTTTTTTGTATGGGCTGATATAAGCGAAGTGGTCTGTGCCACTGCTATCTCCATTATATCCCTTCGTCCGGTGAGACATGTCCAGCGCTAACAAGGGGGGTGTGGCTGCACCTAAGCCTCACCTCGCTTTATTACGCTTTAAGAGGCTTGCGTGCAGCCACACCCCCCTTGTTAGCGCTGGACATGTCTCACCGGACGAAGGGATAGTAATGGAGAACTTTTAAATTTTTGCAGGGGTTAAAAAGTACCTGATTTCGGTGCTATAAACATGTCAGAATATAGCAAACCACTGCTACTGCTACTGCCACTAGTACGTATACTATATATTGCATTTAATATTATATTTAGTGGGTGCTATACTCTAGCTATAGGTGTAATTATATAGTGCCAGCCGAGTCTGTATTAAGAGATATATACCTGAAATATAAGGGTAAAATTATGTAAGCATATAAATAATTAATATATAATAGTGCTACTGGCACTAATTCAATTACTGCCAGTGCTTGTTTATATTACTAGCAGTGGCAGAAGAAGTATAGAGAAGTCTTCAAATTTCATTTTTACTACTTCTAAAGCAAGGCTTGCCAGTGGCAATAACCAGGGTATCTCCTAATACTACTAACGCCTCCCAAAACCCGAAAACCCAACTCACAAGTGCTCTCTAAACTGCCCAAATTGCCCAAACCACTGCCCAAACCACTCCCCAGAAAATGCTAATCCGAAAAAAACCAAGCCTCTAAAGAAAACCCACTAATACCAGTACTAGTGCCACTCGCTTATGGGCGCTAATATATAGGCAAGCGCAAGTCCCGGTCGACTGCCAAGCGAAGTTATACTATATCTATATTCCGGTATAGGCTACGGAAATCGATATCTTAGAAGTTAGTGGCAGTGGCATTAGGTATAGTAATACTATTTCTAGCAAGGTTATGGTTAGTAATATAATAAAAGATATGGCCGCGGCAATCGAAACCGGTAGTAATAGTATTAGGAGAATTACTAGTAGTATTGTGCCATGTACTAATAATAATCCTGTTATTAGTAATAGGGTTAGGAATAGGTATATAGCATATTCTGCTACTATATTAAGTGCTACCACTACTACCGCAAGAACTACGAGAGCCACTGCCGCGAGTACTATAAGAGCCACTACTACCGCAAGTACTACGAGAGCTACTAGACAAGGTACTACTATATAAATAAGGTTCTCGAGATAGTATTAGCAGTGGATTATTCTCCTCCTTATTATTATTATTGCCATAACTCTTGCTATTAGAGTTAAAACTTATGGGTTCGTTACTATTATTACTACTGGAATTAGAGCTTAATTCAATCGGTTCTTTATAAGTGCTACTGGCAGGGGAAAATCCAGATCCGGTAGTGGCAGAGGTAGTAGGATAACGGAGAGGGGGGCCGGAGGGACTAGCAGAATAGTTACCGTATTAGTAGTACTAGTAGCAGAAGGAATAAGGACTACTAGTAGTAGGTTTGCTATTAGTAATACGGGATATAGAGCAAGTATAGTATCTGCAGCCGGCGGGGTGAGTAGTCTAGCCGGCAGAGGCAGAGGCAGGGCGAGAAGATCCAGTAGTGGCAGATAGGCCAGATCCAGCGGTGGCAGATAGGCCAGATCCGGGAGTAGCAGAGAGGCCAGATCCGGGAGTAGCAGAGGGAGTAGCAGGGGCTAGCTAGAAGACTCGCGGATTGCCAGGAGCATACTCCGGGAAGAAGATATTATAATATTAGTTTTGCCAAGTACAAGTAGTAGAGCAAATATTAGTAATACTATTAAGGAGGTAATTATAAGCTATATTAACTTGACCTATACTGGGAAAGATAGTAGTAGTAGCAGGGAAGCAGATAAGTATAGCTTTATATTAATACTTGGTAGTATACTTCTTTGCCTTTTTAATATTATTAGTAGTAATTATATTACTACTAGTAGGATTAAGGCCAAGGGTAGTAAGGTAGTTAAAATCTGGTAGTAGTAGAACAGGCTCAGGAGCGAAATCTATTAGTATAGGTAGTTAAATAAAGCTACTGAGATTATTAGGATTCGATATAATAAAGGAGTAATAGTAGCTACTTGATTTAATATACTAGTAAGTAGTAGTATTAGTAGCAAATGCTTAATTAAAAGTAAGTAGTAATAAGAAGGAAATATAATAAGTAATCCGAATAAAATATACTAATATAAATACGAGTAGTAGTAAGAAGGAAATATGAAATATAATAAATAATTTAGCTAAAATATAATAATACAAATACAAGTAATAGTATAATAGAGATATAATAACTTAAAAGCAAGTAATAAAGTAGTAATAAGAAGAAAATATAATAATCTAAAAAAAAGATAATAATATAAAAGTAAGAGATACTATAAAAGAGATATAATAATTCTAAAATAATATAATAATTTAAATATAAGTAGTAGTAAGAAGGAAATAAGAAATAAAGGAAATAATTTATATATATATAAGAAATATAAAAGTAGTAATAATAATAGAGATAAAAGAAGTTATAATTATAAAAATTAAAGAAGTAGTAATAGTAAAAATAAAAGAAAAAGTCGAGGTTGTTTTATAGAAAGAAATATTAGTAATAGAAATAGAATATATAAGAAAGTAATAGAGGCTTTAGTAAATATATAAGAAATCTAGAAAGTAAATTAAATTCAAGAAATAAATTAGGTAAGAAAGATAAAATAGTAATAGTAAGAATAGTAAATATATTATTATTAGATATTAACTAATTATAATAATAGTAAAAGTAGTAAATATATTATTAAAGTATATTACTATTACTAATTAAATCTATTTTATAACTAGTTCTTTTAGTTATTAATAGATATTAGTATTAAGACTATAACTTTTTAACTCGAAATTAAAAGGCTATATATAAATATATAAATAAGAAATATAATAAGAAATATATAAAAAATATAAAGATTTTTAATTTTATATAACTTTAAATATAAATAGAAAAGAAAAAAATATAATATTAGATTATAAATAAAAGTAAAGAAAGTAAATATATATTCCCTAATCTTATAATATAGTAAGTAATAGAAATAAAAGTAATAGTAGTAATAGTAGTAATAATAATAATATAAATAAAAATAAGGAAATTAAAAAATAATAACTAGTTTTAAATTAAAAACTAATAGTAATAGAACTCGACTTATAATTATAATATATAAATTAAAATATTAGTTTTTTATAATTTAAATATAGTTTTTATTACTAAATTTATAAAACTATTTAACTTAAAAAAATAATAATTAGTTTAGATATTAGAATTATAGAACTAGATTCTCTTAGGCCTAGATTAAATACCTGAAAAGCAGGCATATAAGTGAGGCGGTTTTGAAAAACATATATTAGTAAGAAGCTCTCTTACTAAAATTATATAATTAATAACTCGATATTAAATAATAGGCAAATAGCTATAAGTTAGGTACTAAAATAATTATATATTACTAGGTTTTTAAAAGATTATAGCTATATATTATATATTAGTTATATAGTAAATTAATTATAATTTTATAGTAAGAGTATATATATTAAGAGCTAAAAAAGTATAATATATATAATATTAGTAATAATTTAATAAATAATAGGCGAATAGCTATAAGTTAGGTACTAAAATAATTATATATTACTAGGTTTTTAAAAGATTATAGCTATATATTATATATTAGTTATATAATAGATTAATTATAATTTTATAGTAAGAGTATATATATTAAAAGCCAAAAAAGTATAATATATATAATATTAGTAATAACTTAATAAATAATAGACAAATAGCTATAAGTTAGGTACTACCCCTTATGCGGGGCCCCTTTTTCGGTAAAAGGTGAGAATGCCCGTATACTAATTAGTGCGTATACCGCTAACTAATGCACTTTCCGGTAAAAGGGATTTCGGTAAAGGGGCACCTCCCCTACTACCTTTTAATAAGTATTCCCTTGTCTCAAAGTATATTCTCGTTATATTATTATATAATCTAGCTTATAGAGTTACTATCTATTATGCCTGCAAGTCCTGTATTATCCTAGAGGCATATAGTCAAGAGCAGCACCTGTAAGCACAGCTATACTAACTCTTGGGAGACAAGCTCAAGGTAACTACAAAGCTTCTTAATAGCTATAACTTGAGGGGTGTGGCCGAGCTAAGAAAGTATAAGCCCCGGCCTAAAGACAAGTGCCAGATAACTGAGTACCTAGTTAGCTATAATAGCATTTACTATCTATAGCCGTAGTATAGCTATAATACCTGCTTATAGGGCTAGGTCTTATATATTAAAACAAGGAATTACTTTGCAAAACTCTATTGCCTAGTATAGGCTAAGCAAGAACTAACTATAATTGAATAGCAGTTACTAAAAGGCCCGATAGTATAATAGTAGTATATAGAGTTAGTAAACTCTATAGCCTAGGTTCGATTCCTAGTTAGGCTCCTGATTTGCTTCTCGATAAATGCTCCTGTAGCATTTAGCAATAAGTAGATCTATTTTTTTTGGTCTTGTTTTTTGAGCAAGAGATATTACGTGGGGACGCTAGTCTAGCTTCAAGAAGTATATAAAGCCCTCCTCGCCCGCCCTTCGCCTCTCCTTCTCTCCTTCCCTTCTTTTCTCCTGCTCTCTTCTCCTCTGGCCGCTTCTCCTTCTCTTTTCCTTGCTCCCTCCTAATTAAATAAGCAAGGAGTAGAGGTAGTACAAGAACCAGAATAGCAAAAGAATTAGTGGCCAGTTATACTCTAGGGTTTTACCCCCTAAGCTTTCCTATACAGGTCGTTTTATCGGGTACCTACCCCGGGGGGAAACTACTTATATTACCTGCCGGGGCTTTAAATCTATAGTTAGCTTACTAGTATAGTATACTCGAGACTATTTATAGACCGACCGCCCTGCTCCCTCCTTCCGGAAGGCCATTAATACCCGAAATAGTAATAAGGAGGCCGGAGCTTCTATTATGTTATAGCTAAGGGGTCGCCATAATAGTAAGGATATATATAGTTAGTTCTAACTATACTATAAAGGCTTAGTATTAGGCTTTTAGTAAATCAAAAAAGCTTATTTTAATA